CTATTATATTGTATGAATAAACTAGCTAAATAATATATATTATGTTCATTTATATTTTTTTCTGTACATTTTTATATTGTGCATTGTAGTTTTCATCGTCTATCGTAGAAGTGTGTTTCAGAATAACAAAAGTTAATTAAAACATTATGCAGAAATCTACTATTTTTATAATAGTTTTCATTATAATGGGTAATTCTTATGTGTATTTTTTGTTTACAATACATTCTTAGGTTCAATACTATAATTACTATAATTGTATGGCTTCTAAATTCTAATTAAATGACAAATTATGTTGAAAGGAGTTAACGCCATAGAAAAATTATTTTTATTTCAAAATTATGTAAACGAGTATGAGTTTATATGGAAACCTTATTTTATTATTTTTATTTAGTCACACAGGGTCGACCATATCCAAGTATGTTTATAAATGATATAATACTATACATTTTACATGCAATTGTATACAAGTTTTCTATTTAACTTGTACGTCCATTGTATAATATGACCGTGTAGTAATAATTAATATACACCTAAAAGTAGATAACAGTACCATTACAGATTACATTTATTGGTTGGTTTTTGGAGTATTTACACGGTACCAAAAGTAAACAAAATATTTGTTTAAAAAAATTATTTATTTATTTTATAATGAAAAGCTACAGCCAGCAAAATATTAATACGTGTAAAAAAGGACATCTAATCAACTATTATACTGCTATAAAAAATAATGTCATTTCTTTGCTGTTAAACTATAATTTTTTTTTTGTTGGTTAGGTGAAAACAATTCGATGGAGTCACAAAAGAAGCCGGGTAATTTCACGTGGTTTTATATTATTACAAGGGCCAAAACGCCAAATACGAATAAACTTATGGAGCACTCTTCCCTGGTATTTTTTGATACTTACTTTATGTGTCTGTTCCGACGAAAGGAATCAGTAAATCAATTTTTGTTCGTTTATTTTGAACTTTTTTATATAATTTAATGATCATATTTTTAGTTTTTTCATTTAATCTTTTTTTTAATCATTTTTTATAGTATTTTGAACAAAAAGAAAAATGTTAAAAATTAGTTTCTTTTGTAAAATAATTGATTTTTATCCGAGTTAAGTCAGCAAATTGAGTTTATAATTTAGTTTATAATTTTATACTTTTAGTAGGACCAAATTTTTAATAACATAGTCAAACTAGAAATAATAATAATATATTAAATATATTCTATCCATTGTTTTTGAAAAATATCAGGAATATTTGAAATATTGGAAAATGGTTTCATGCAACGTTTTATCCGCTCACGTGTTTTTTTAGAGACATAACCGTTCTATTATTTCCCAAATAACATTGCCATTTGCGTCATATTTAAATAATACTGTTGCTATATAGTTTGAAAAACATTTGTTAAATAATGTATGTTATATACATTTCAATATTTTTTTGAAACATTTGCTTCTAGTTTTAGTAATTGTACAAGTTCTTAAAATGAAAAACTAAAAATTAGAATTATTTTAGAAAAAAGGGTCTTATCCATACTGAATTATCTGTATAATTTTCATATGTATGCAAAATATTTGATAAAAATAATGATATTATTTTATAATGAAAGGTGATCTCCCAAAAATACTAACACTTAAAGAAATGGCGGAGTTACAAAGGAAACAGGGTAATTATACGTTTTTTATACAATGTAGAATAATATGTCTATATATAAAGAATTAAACTTATTTTCAAATATATCTTAAAATATATGCATACAATATTTTGAAAATATTTATATTTCTAAACAAGCACCCAGTATTAGTCCTGACTACAATTATTGTCGAATAATGGAAATTTGACTACCTAAAGTTAAGACGAGAAATATTATTAATTATCAAATTGCTTGTCACATATATTTCAAGATGTATTTGAAAATAAATTTATTTCATTAGAAGAACATATGTTTTTCTACATTGTGAAAACAGTATCATACAACAGATAATTAAAGGTTTTTTACAATCACTTAAAGTTAGCAAAACATTAATTTAATTTGCATTACATGTTGGTTTAGATAATAGACTGGTATATGTCCAAATAGGTACACCCTGTATAGTGTAATAGAATAGAAATCATTCTTTATCTATCTTCGAGTGCTATAATGTGTAAATACAAAAGCAATCATAAAAATAAAAAATCTTTCTCAGGGACAGTCGAACGAAAAATGGTTTGTCATACATATCTTATAAACTATTTCATAATAATATTAGTTAACTGGAATTCCACATATTTTTCTATATCTATTGTTAAAACTATATTTTCTAAAAAAAAATTGAAATATGGAAATTTTAAAAAGCATATAGTATACTTTTAGATATTTAAAAATGTTTTGAAACATTATAGAGATAAAAGTTCTACTAGACCAGATAAGTCTATAAAATTCAATAGGGGTTTAATTTTTTTATGTAAAAGCTGCACTAAAGTACTAAAAAATCGTATAAAACATAATTCCTATTTAAGCTCGTTTAATTTTTATTATTTTTAAATACTATTAGGTCAATTTAAAGTTAGCAAACATTAACTTATATGTATAATTTGTTGTATTATAGCTGGCGATAAAAAGCATTCAGGTATAGTATAGACTAGAGCTACCGATTACACGTGTAACACGTGTAGTTCGAATTGACGTGAAGAAGTTCGTGTAATTATAAGTACACATGTACCTGCAACTACAAGTATTCTTAAAACTGTAAGTTTTAATAAGACCTCTTATTTACGTAATACTACTCTTTAAATAATGTTTGTGACTAAGATATAGTATTATAGCCATTGGGTCAAGTTAGTGGAATCTAGGGTCCTACAAGTGTATTAATTACACGAACTTCTAAACGTCAATTCGCACTACACGAACCTTGTCCTACATGTGTACTACACAATACACGTGTAGAATCTTCGGTCCTAGTATAGACTGTAGAGTTACCTAGTGTGAACCCTTTTCCAAACAATATAAGTTCAAAGCACCAGGAATACATGAGATGTGTTAATATTTATTTACCGGAATAAGTATAGTATCCCTCTTAACAGTTTTAAAATCGTGTAAAAAATGTTATATTTAAAGCTATTAGTTTCTTACATATTCACTATTAAAAATGTTTTATTATTAAAAATTCTCAAATATATAAAAAATGTAATTTTGTTTGTTAGGATGGAGTTTAGTAAGAAATGGTATGTTGTTCGTCACTTATTACTTTGTTTCATTTAATTTTGTTTGCACAATTGAACTATGGTACCAAAAATATTGACGAAGAAAGCTAATTTATCTTGGACATCTTAAATCTGTTGTTCATTTATTTTGAAATGTTCGATTATTAATAGTTCTATAATCGTATATCTTTGAAACAAATTAATCATGTTGTAAAATATATTGTAATTTATTATATTATAATAAACACAAATTTTATGTTCATGTACATTGTGCAATATTTCAAACTTGACAATCAATTAACAGCTTTTAATAAACCCTGTTTCGAAAATGTGACCCACTTTTACTTTAAACTAATTTAGTGTGATATTATTTTCATCAAGTATTTCGATAGTTTCGATTAGATTTCATCATTTAAAAATGAGCACTAATTAATTTGGTTTATAATCTTCGTTATATTTTAAAATACCTAATACTTTATTTGCTTAAAAGCTAGCGGATTGGTCGAAATCTTTGGATGTGGAACGCCTAAGACAACAGAAACAACCGACGATTCGAGCTCTTCCAAAAGTAATAGTTACTTATGTTTTAAAGATAATTATTTTACATAAAAAAATTAAACGTTATTAATTTGGTGATTCACTTATATAGTCTTAAAACGTAAAATAGCATCGTTTAGCATTCAATTTGGTCACTATATTTTGAGCTTGATTTAAATTCGAAAACACAGTTTCCGTTTGCTTTGTATAGAAGATTGCGTTAGTCGAATTAGCAAATGTCCCTTTTTCATATAATGGAATTTATTATTTTCTTCCAAGGAAATTCCTTGACCGTGTCTTGATAAGGTCGTACCCTTTTTTTATATAGTTTAATATAAATTATATTATTATATATCACATATTTTATGTTCATGTATATTGTGCAATATTTCAATCTTGACAATTAATTAGCAGCTTTTAATAAACCCTGTTTCGAAAATGTGACCCACTTTTACTTTTAACTAAATTAGTGTGATGTTATTTTCAACAAGTTATGTACCTAGGCATAAAGGTTAGCATAGTTGTGCGACTTCGATTAGATATCATCATTTTGTGCTCATTTAAAAATATGCACTAATTAATTTTAATTTATAATATTCGTTATATTTTAAAATACCTAACACTTTATTTGCTTAAAAGCTTGCGGATTTCGCGAAACCTTGGGATGTGGAATGCCTAAGACAACAGAATTCACTGACGGTCCGATCTCTTCCAAAGGTAATAGTTACATATGTTTTAAAAATATTTATTTTAAATAAAAAAGTTAAACGTTATTAATTTGGTGATTCACTTGTATAGTCTTAAAACATAAAATAGCTTCGTTTAGTATTCAATTTGGTTCACTATATTTTGAACTTGATTGAAATTCGAAAACACAGTTTTCGTTTGCTCTGTATAGACGATTGCGTTAGTCGAATTAGCAAATGTCCCTTTTTCATCTTATGGAATTTATTATTTTCTTTCAAGGAAATTCCTTGACCGCGTTTTGATAATGTCGTACCCATTTTTTATATACTTTAATATTACTTATATTATTATAAAACACATATTTTATGTTCATGTATATTGTGCAATTAAGGTCCAAAAATGATCTTGAAAGGTATAGTATAGACTGTAGATTTAGCATAGTTGCCTAATGTGCACTTTCTTTATTATATTTGTAAAATGTAATAATTAATTTTCTGTATACAATTAACTTAGTTCTTTTTCTATTAAAAAGGTTTCAATGTTAAAAGTCCTCAAATAAATAAAATACGTTTTTTTGTATTTTAGCGCGTCCTCCGCGCATAAAAGAATCAAACAAAGGACCTTGTACATGTTTTGTAGGTAAGTATACTAAGTTCATTACATATTTTTAAAAATAATTTTTTTAATTAATATAGTTATCCTTATTAATTTGGTGATTCACTTATACATATAACCTATTTTTTTCTTTGAAGAGAATTCCTTGACAACTGTGGTCCGTCGTAATGAAACTTGTCCTCTACTAATACTACTGTTCAAATTTTATTATTATGATTGTCATTATATTTTAAAATATAATATTTTGTTAATCATTTTCATATATAATATAAAGTTAATATAATAACGTTTTGTATCGTGTTTAGAACTTCCTGAGAGACCAAATTAAGTTGTTAACATTAATTCTGTATACCATTAAGTCAATTATTTTTTTTATCATTGTCTTTTTCCCCCCTGTGATTTTCAATGAACTCTATCTCTAACACTTTAAGTTGAAACCACCATCATTACATGAGATGTGTTAATAATCTTCTACAGGAATTAGAATAGTATCCCGCTCAACAGTTTTAAAATCGTGTAAAACATGTCACATATAAAGCTATTATTTCCTAACATATTCACTATTATAAATGTTTTATTGTTGATATTTCCTAAATAAATAAGAAATGTTTTTTTTCTTTTTTAGGGAGTGACGTTTTATCAGAAGATGGTATGTTTTTACAAAAAATATATATATTTGTTTCATTTAATTTTGTTTGTGCAATTAAACTATGGTACCAAAAATGTTGACGACAAAAGCTTATTTTTCTTGGACGTCTTAAAACTTTTGTTTGTTTGTTTTGAAATGTTCGATTTTTTTTAAAAAAATTTAATGTTGCTGTATTATATTTTTTTAAAACACGACGAACTTGACAAAAATTAACAGCTTTTAACAGAACTTTGTTTCAAAATTATGACAGACCTTTACTTTGAACTGGGTTAGTGTGATGGTATCATCAATAACTTATGGACTGGGGCATAAAGGTTAACAAAGTTATGCAAATTCTGTTAAATTTACACAATCCATGCGTGTGTGATGATTGAAATTCGAAAATCCAGTTCTGTTAGCCCTAAAAATACGTTTGCGTTTCCGAGCATTTCTTATTTACGTATCAGTTAAGTTAAGGGAATTCCTTGACCACGTTTTGATAACGTCGTTAAAACGTTACATCGCTGTCTGCTGTAATAAAACTTATTCTCTGATATTACCAATTTAATTATATTACTATTATTGTCATTATATATTAAAATAATATATTTTGTTATTCATTGTCATATGTAATATTTATTATAATAATATTTTTGTATTGTGTTTAGAACATGCTGCGAATGAATGTGTGATTAGCAATTTCCCATTACATAACTTTCGCCATTGTCGAGATTGTCCTTATCATTAATCATAAGGTAAACTAATCTAATCGTTACATAGATTATTACATACATATATAGTTCTTATACTATAAAATATCATTCCTTAGAGACTTTTTGTAAATACAAAACACAATTAGTTTACATTGTTTTTTTGTAACATTATACGAACTTATTCTATTTAAGCTATGGATTAATAAGAATTTTTTTTTTTTTTTGATAGAAAGAATTTAATGACAACAATCTAATTTCGCAGAAATATACAGTTTAAAATAAATATAAATGTAGAAAATTAAATTGTGTAAACTATTACTAAACAAAAAACATATATTTCAAGGATTCATAATAAACTTCTTCTATCTGGCAAATTTAAAATGTATTGTTTTGCATTAGTGTAAGTTTTCAAACTAGGTTACATTTTTGCACCAGATTTTATTATTGTAGCTTTGCTTAAGTACAATGTGAATATATCGTTATAGCCTGTAACAACATTTTTCATAATCTCGAAGAAGATTGTCTAGATAAATCGATGGATCAAATTAAGATATAATAATTATGATTGGACGAGGCGCTTTAAATGTGACATATTACTTTTTAACACTCGGTTTGAAGTTTATTTATATGATTTAAGCTCGAAGGTTCGGCGAAAATATAAAAGTTTATGAATCGATACACGCAATTTCAATAACAAAATAGTAAATAACTAATACAGTTTACATAAAGCTTACAAATCTACCATTCCACCCGTTAACAATTTCAAATTTAAATATATATATATATATATATTGTGCCATAGTTAACCATAGTTTTAGTTGGACCAAATTTGTTTATTTTGGAGAGTTACATAATCACCTTAAATTATAGGTTTAATAATATATTTAACATTTTGACTTGTTGTGTTCGAAAAATATCAGAAATATTTAAAATATTGGAAAATAATTTTACGCAACGCTAACCAAATTTGATTATTGCTAACGAAAATATTTAATCCGCACACGTGGTTTTTTAGATACATGAATGTTCTGTTATTTTCAAAATAACATTGCCATTTGCATTATTTATTAATAACACCTTGGTTGTATAGTTTGAATAACATTTATTATATAATGTATATTATATCTATTTAAATGTTTATCAATACAAACGTTTCCATATTATATAATTGTAAATGTTTATAAAAGGAAAAACTAAAAATTATAATCATTTTAATAAAAGATAGTCCCTCCCGTCCCTACTATGTCCGGACCCCACTGTTCGGACTTTTTACCTTTTATTCGATTATTTTGTATACATTTTGTACACACAATTGTTTTATCAGCAAGTCTAGCAATCAGTCATCATTTTGTTTGGTATGTGCTTTGGGGGGGGGGGGGGGTTAAATTGGAAAAAGTTTTTGGTAAATGTTAAATGTAATACATAAAATTGCTGTGCGTGATTTGGTGTTAAATACCACATGAGTTTTGCGTATATTTGAATAACCCTAGGGTAAACGACGAAAAGGTGTTAACACCAACAGCGGGAACGGTACCAATACATAATTTGTTTTTGTATTTGGTCGTATGTTGTGAAAAAAATTTGTAAATATTTAAATTCTGTACGTGAAATTAAGATGAATTTTATTTTTTACACCACAATTGTAACATATGCGTTAAAACATGTTGATTTTGGTAATACGTATATTGTTTGTCATTTATATATGACCAACAAGTAACTGTGTGAATAATTCAGTACCTAACTGTTTTTCCCTTATTTCGATAAATAATTTGTATAACACATTCACACTGTGATTTTAGTACGATCCGGTGTAATAAAATAATATTAAATTATTTTAAAAGTCTAATAATTTAGTAGATCAAAACTGTAAAGCTAAAAAAATTATAAAAAAAAAATTAAATCATTTAAGATAGTTTTAAAGTTGGTAAGTACCCTTTGAAAACATTTCAAATATAAAGCCAAAATCAGATAATTCACACTACGATACCATCAATCATTTAAATCAACTGTTGTTGTAGATGTTAAATTGTTAAAACAAGTAGTTTTTATACAACTATAAATAAACTTTAACCACAATAAAAATATACTTATTTCACTCATAAGTATATTTTTGTTGTGTGAATTAAACCGCAATAAAAAAAACTGTTTAATTAAACCATTATTATTCTTATGTATTGAAAAAGCGCAGTAGAGGTCTGGTCAACGGTTTTATATAATGCGGTGATGTTTTTGTTTTGTTTTATTATTACATTTTAGTTATATATATACATACGTTTAACGTGTCAAACTTAATAAATGTGTAACTCTAATTGTGAAATCACTCTACTAATTGTAAGTATAATGTAATGTCATACGCAAAACCAGTAAATATATAATGTATATACTAGCTGCGTTATGTGGCGTAACTCTGGTAAAAATATATAATAATCAATTAATAGTAATTGGAAGTGAGTAGAATTTTAAAAAAAATAATTTTTTATATTTTGTTAATAATATTACAACAATTTGTTTGTGATCTGAGATGGAATATTATATTTCTAGAATTACACGAATACTGTACATCCCAATCATGTGTTAGGCTTAAAAACTACTTTAGGAACGTTCCCTAACTTTCTGGATTTTCCTTGCAAAAACTGTATCATTCTCGAAGAGTAAGCGTAATTCTATTAAAGAGTTAAGGGTAAAAATTACTTTAAGAACGTTCTAGGACGTTCCGTAACTTTTTCGAAAATGTCTGAACTCTGTAGAAATATTTGGAACATTCTCGATGAGTAAATATAGATTGCGTAGTGAATTGTACGTAAGTAGAATAGGAAAGTGATTTGTAGCTTGCTCAGTAAATATGCTTTTAGTTTTATTTAACAAAAATGTGAAGTTGAGCAAAATATTTTTTATAAAAAAAAAAAAATGTGATGTTACAATAGTATGTATCATTATAATGTATTATTCTATGCATTCAGTTAAATAAAATAATTATGATAAATGCATTTGATATCTATATATAACAAATTGCTACGCAAATTTTTTTTTCTACGTCTATGCGGCTCAACATAAAATACTGATGATTTTTTTAATTTTTTAAAATTAAAATGTTTCAGCATATTACATGCTATTACAAGTTTTCTTACGCTCTAATTACATATTACAAATTAAGTTACTAATTACAATTAGTTTATGTTATTGTGATAATGATGTTTTCATGTTGATATTAGTTAATAGGTTATTTTAGTAGTAATTTAAAGTTGATCTTCATCTTCACTTGAACCTGATAGAAGAAGATCTTGTGGTAGACGTGGTTTTAAACGCCGATTTTTCGTTTTGTTTCCCAGGTTGTAGAAACGTGCGCCACCGGATGTATGTGTGGCTGACTTATTGTATAATATCATCAGCTACCACGCCACCTGTATGAAGTTGATAACAAAACCATATTTCGTCGCTATATTCATGACGTACCGCGATCAACGATAATATACACATGACCGGTATTTCTTTGTAATATTTTCTTTACTCTTACTTGTATTTTTATTCTGTACCGTTGCGTACCTTTTATTTATGTAAAACTTTATTATTATTTGTTGGTTAACCGTGTGCAATTATTTTAATAAACTATTATTCTTTGTATTATTATAATCAACCTCTTTTTATATTTAATAGTTTAACTAACACGGGTTAAAAACCACAGTATTGAGATTTGCGTGAAAGTTTTTCAGTTGACTCTCAAATGACAGTTTGACATAGATGCAAGCAGTTTTATAAAACAATTATGATAAATACTTGCGATATTTGTATATTACATTGGAATATTTTAAATATTAGGCATTTTATTTTTTACCGAAATTGTTTATTTCTAACGTAATGTTTACTCCTTCTTACAGGTTTTTTGGAAACATGTATCGTTTTGTTTTTTTACAAATAACATTGCCTTTTGCGTCAAACTTTAATATAACTGTTCCTATTATATTGTATGAATAAACTAGCTAAATAATATATATTATGTTCATTTATATTTTTTTCTGTACATTTTTATATTGTGTATTGTAGTTTTCATCGTCAATCGTATAAGTGTGTTTCAGAATAACAAAAGATAATTCAAATATTATGCAGAAATCTACTATTTTTATAATAGTTTTCATTATAATGGGTAATTCTTATTTGTATTTTTTGTTTACAATACATTCTTAGGTTCAATACTATAATTACTATAATTGTATGGCTTCTAAATTCTAATTAAATGACAAATTATGTTGAAAGGAGTTAACGCCATAGAAAAATTATTTTTATTTCAAAATTATGCAAACGAGTATGAGTTTATATGGAAACCTTATTTTATTATTTTTATTTAGTCACACAGGGTCGACCATATCCAAGTATGTTTATTAATGATATAATACTATACATTTTACATGCAATTGTATACAAGTTTTCTATTTAACTTGTACATCCATTGTATAATATGACCGTGTAGTAATAATTAATATACACCTAAAAGTAGATAACAGTACCATTACAGATTACATTTATTGGTTGGTTTTTGGAGTATTTACACGGTACCAAAAGTAAACAAAATATTTGATTAAAAAAATTATTTATTTATTTCATAATGAAAAGCTACAGCCAGCAAAATATTAATACGTGTAAAAAAGGACATCTAATCAACTATTATACTGCTATAAAAAATGATGTCATTTGTTTGCTAGTAAACAGTACATTTTTTTTGTTGGTTAGGTGAAAACAATTCGATGGAGTCACAAAAGAAGCCGGGTAATTTCACGTGGCATTATACTATTACAAGGGCCAAAATGCCAAATACGAATTAACTTATGGAGCACACCTCCCCGGAATTTTTTGATACTCACTTAATGTGTCTGTTCCGACGAAAGGAATCAGTAAATCAATTTTTGTTCGTTTTTTTTGAACCTTTTTATACATTTAAATGATCATATTTTTAGTTTTTTCCTTTAATCTTTTTTTTAATCATTTTTTATAGTATTTTGAACAAAAAGAAAAATGTTAAAAATTAGTTTC